GCAAGGATTTCCTGCATTTTGAAGCAACCTGTAACAAGTTCTCATCACTCTCTTCTATCACATTTTGGAATCTTAGAAAATATGATGCACGTTCAAAATCCATCATTGCCATACTGTCTTCCAGCTCCGCATTAGATTGCGCCAATCTCTGATTTTCATCTTGGAGCGCCTCTAATTTCTGGTCTACTACTTCTGACTTGTCTTCAATATTTTGCATTCTTTGTTGAGTATCTGACATTGCCTGTTGAAAGGATTCCATTTTTTGATCCATCTTAAGCAAATCATTTTTCAAATCTTCAAACTCCTTTCTCATTTCCATTTTAGAATCTTCAAAATCTTTTTTCATTTCCATTCTAGAATCTACAATTGTAGATTCTACAATGTTGTAATCGATTTTTGAAGTGCTGGACTAACTGAGGTTGATGCAGGAGTCGAGGAACCCTTCCTCACCCCTTTCGCCAAGTTTGAAACACTCATCTTGATTATTATATTTATTTATAATCCATCAACAAGCCCGATGGCCCAATTAATTGTAATCCAAAAGTAGGGCCCGATGGCCAGTTATATTCCACCAAAAAGCTCAAAAAAGAAAAAAGATAAAAAAGAAAACAAATATATATATATAATCCAAAAGCCTCAGTAAAAAATAAAAGTGAGCATAAAAATATCCAACAATAGTAACATCAAAATGTAGGAGAAAATATAAAAAGGGATAGCAGATCTCTGGGCAAAAAAAATAAAAAAATAAAAAAAAGGAAAGATAAAAAAAAATATGTTTATGTCCACACAGCAAGACTGAGAAAAAAGGAGTAACAATAAAAAAAGAGAGAAAAAGAATATTCAATTTATAATCCAAATAGAAACATAAAAGACTTCTTCTATGGTTCCCTTATTTTAAAAAGAATAAAATAAATCCAAAAAGGGAATCAGACACCAAGCAAAGCCAAAACAAAAACAAAAAATAGAAAACAGTCTCTCTTAGTAATCTCTAAACGAGGTAGGAATGTCTGGGCAGTCAGCCAAGTGTCTGGGCATTGAGCCAAACTCCAGAGCTGAATCAACAATGATAGTGTAGCAAAAGATAGTGTAGCAAAAGAACAAAGGAGAAAAATTGCAAAAATAACCACCAGGGGACGCTGTTTCTTCCCTCACCGTTTATATAGGGAGAAAGTAAAAGAGAAAGAGAAAGTTCCAGCGCCTCGGCATAGTCAGCTGATTCCATCGCTGACTATAGGGGGCGAAACTTTGGCCCCCTCGGATCGGGTCCGCAACTTGGGTGTTCTCCTGGATTCGCGGCTGACACTGGATGACCAGCTGGCGGCCGTGACCAGGGGAGCGTTTTATCAGGTTCGCCTGATTCACCAGTTGCAGCCTTTTCTGGACCGGGACGCCTTACGCACGGTCACTCATGCCCTTGTCACTTCCCGCCTGGACTACTGCAATGCTCTCTACATGGGGCTCCCCTTGAGGAGCACCCGGAGGCTCCAGCTAGTTCAAAATGCGGCCGCGCGGGCGGTGTTGGGAGGGACTCGTCGCTCCCATGTTACACCGCTTTTGCGCGAGCTGCAT